TGGATATTCAGTCCCATCCCTGCACTGCAGTTCACCATCCTCTTCTTGAGCCAGTGTAACCACGTGAAAGGATATACCATAGGCTTGGCCAGCAAAACAATCTGCATTAAGGTAACAAAAAAGCTAATCCAAAGATTTTAGTTGGAATTACTGTCTTATTTTTAAAGGCAGATTACTACATTTCTGTTACCAGCTTTTCCCTCAAACCCACTCTCTAAACCTAGCTTCTGCAATGCCGTCACCTAACCAGCTCACCCTACGCCTTCTCCTGCCTCTCCCCACAGCTACCCATGCAGTCCCAGGCACCCAACTCAGGGGCTGCCTGCAACTTCTGCCCCATGCAGAGACTGCTGACCCTCTTCTGTTACTGTGATAAAGAAGAGCACACGTAAAGGACACCAACACCATTGATTCTTCATCTTCTTCATGACCTAATGCTGATCCCAAGCCAAGCCATAAGGACAGAAGGACAGAAAGACCTACCTATCAGAAGGCAAGTGTCCTCCCAGTCAGTGCCACTTGCACAGGAAGGGCTAAAAGAGTAACACTGAATTAAGCAGGTGTATAATTAATTGCTCAGAATTTACTAATGTGCAACCTAGGAAGAGCACCAAGGGCTATAAACATTTCAAGATACTTCACAATGTTATATCACCGCATTAGAGAGTACTAGCATTTTAACACTTGTTTAAGAAAATAAAATACAACTGAGCAGTAGCTTCCTGTAAAGAAATAAATTAGCGCATTGTAATCAGCCACAGTAAATGCAGTACAAACATCTTCATACTGCAGGTACACAGAGCCAAGCCTACGCATGTTTTTACTCTTCTGCTGCATTTGCAGAATGATCCAAACCTGGAAGGTTTAATGTGCTCCTGACATTAAGGTGCAGCTCTGAGGTTCACCAGATGTGGCTTCAGCTCCTTTCCCTGCCTCTGCCTATATGTACGATGCACGCGTGACCACAGGCCTATCACCTACCTGCGCTGCGTCTCAGCTCTGTAGCAGGAACACACAGTGAAAACGTTCCTTTGGTTGCCAAGATTAATTCACATTGTGCTTACAGAGCGGGCAAAATGGTTCCACCACAGAGGGAGGCAATCTGACATTTCAGAAAAGAGAAACCACACTAAAGAGCTTACAACACAAGGGCTCAACCTCGGCAGACTCCGAGTACCCTCTTTTTCCACTAAAAATCATCTCCTGCAGACAGCGGCTCCCTCAGCCCTTCAGGGGTACGTTACCTTCACCACTCAATGCCACATCAATGTGATTTGTTTAACCACCAGCAGCAGCTCCACCTGCGCGCAGGATGAGGCTCTGGCACTAAAGCTGGGTCTGAATCCGGCCCTGGAGCTTTTCAACTCGGAGGAGAGCTCCTTGCAACAGGCTGAAGGAATCCTCCCGCTGTGCCCGAGGACCGTGTGCCTAACGAGGCTGTATCCCAACTCATATTTTAGCTTGGCAGGTCTGGTGCTCCTTTCATCTTTTGCTTCAGGTAGCTCTCTTTAATTAATAACATTTCTGTGTCGGCACAGGGAACTTTCCACCCAGAATGAATGGCCTTCTCTCATTAGACCCACGACTGTCATGATGTATTCAAGAGCAGGAGTGTGATTCATTCCCTTGTCTGGGAATGAGGGGTGCTGCTGGGGGGTGGAGGGGAGAAGTCTCTGTAATGAGTGACTGATATTTGCTGAAGCTGAGATGCGACTGTCGGCTTGAACTGCCTTGTCAGGACATGCCTTCAGAAAGGTGATGTTCCTACTCAAGAGGTTTTCCTCATTAAAGAAATTGCATCTTAACAAGAGGGAAAGGGAGGGGCGGCAGGAGAGCTGCTGTCTCCCCGACTCCAGCCTGGCTCAGAGCTGAAAGCCGGCAGCCAGCAGCACTCTGTTTCGGAGCCCTCTCTCTAGCAGCAGCAGCCAAATCTTCCAGCAGTGACTTTCCTTTGTGTTTTGCTCCATGACCACGGCAAGGCTATGAGTAGCAGGGCAGAGGACCTCAACTGGTGCTCCACGAGCCCTTCCCAGGTGCAGGTCTGTTTCCTGGCTCCTTGTGACTGGTGCTCAGAGGGAAGCCACGCAGAAAGAGCGCTGTGATCTACCAGGAAAGCTCAGATGTTCGAGAAAAGTCAAGTGCGGAGCCACAAAGCACCTCATTCTCTGAAGACTCCTAAGACAAGCAGAGGCTTCATGGGTCCTTTAGCAGCTGAGCGTCTATCTTTACTGCTGCTAGATACCCTCATAAGAGCTCTGCACCTTGGCAAACGCTGTTCCTCTTGCACTTTTCTCTCAGCCGAGTACTATGCATGCTGCAACTCCTGGCTTTGACAGGTTATTTACCCACCTTGTCCCCACATCCACCACTGGATGGTGACAGGCTGGTAGGTCCTCCTCTGTGACCCAGCCCACACCCCAAATTCAATTTGCTCATCTGTGTGCCTCCCGGTGCCCTGGCATCTGCTGGAAGCACCCACAAGCAGACAGGCCTGTCCAGAAGACATCATTCCCCAGCACGTGTAGAACGGCACATGTGGACTGAAGCCAAGCAATGCCCAAGTCATTGCTGGAGAAGCCAGGAACAAAGCTGCACAGTTTTCTACCATCAGCCAAGCTAAGGACAAGGAATTACAAACCGCACAAGAAACTGGTAAGAGGAACACAGCTTGCTCCAGAACTCATCTAGAATCCAGTGGGAGTTTCACCATGCAATGCTTCCAGGAACATGTTCCTCCAAACTTGGACAAGCAGCACCACCTCCCCTCTCTGTCCCAGTACCTTCAGCGCCAAGCGCGTGGACTCCACTTGGTAGAACAGGGCATCAGCACCACTGCAAGTCTTTTAGGGAAGCACAAGGTAACTCCCTGGAATATTTCCTAGATGTTCCAGCTCTCTGAGAATGCATCTCCCTGTCTAAGCAGCCTCGTTTCAGCTCTGCGCCTTCCCTCTTTAAAAAGAGATGCTCAGTTCTGCTTTGCTAAACCCTATTTGGCAATGTGTCTACACGCACGCAAACTTAATTAGTTTAGGAGGGAGACTCGGCATTTGTGGTGACGGATAAAAGTAATGGGAAATGAGACAAGTCAGAGCTGGCAGGGAGTCCTCACTCAAGCCTCATTCACTGGCATGGAGCTAATCAGATGTGACGCTGCACGCTGCTGCACCCAATCGGTGGTGGAGCAGTGCGATGCGCTACTCGCTGAACGGCTGCAGCCGGGCTCCCCGTATCTGTGGTTGGAAACATGAAATGTACTTTCTGCTCTGCCCTGGAGACGCTTCAGGATTGAATTCTGAAGTTAATGGTTTAAAACATTTTTTTAAAAGGAAGAGGGAGAAATGAACCACTCACTGCAGCCTCATGGCCAGGAGTGGAGTGTTCTTTTCCAGCTGACTAGTGAGGCACAGTCCATGCAAAAGACTGCTGCAAATGGTGAATCAAGTATCTGGGCTCCAGAGCTGCGTGTCCTGCTGGCTCAGCTCACCCCACAGTCCCCATGGCTCACCAGAAACAGGGCTCATCTTCACTGTATTTCCCCACTATCGGCCTCTGATGAAAGAGAAAAATGCAGAAGGTTGTCTATTTCATACAGACACTGAGTTATGATGCCATTATCTGGAAACCTTGTTAGCCTGGTGTGAAGGGGATGGAAAGATGGGCTTTGAGACATAGCAAACCACAGTTTATTCCTCACAATCATCACCAAAAGCAGTAAACTGGACACTCAAAACAACAACAGAGAAGGAAAGCGCCAAGAAAAGAGAAGAGATTGGAAATAGATGTTTAGCACATCCCTGCAGCTGTCTTTGTGTTGGACTCTAACAAACACTTAAGCACAATTTACAAAGAAAAACACATTAAACCAGTGACAGAAGAACTGGCAATATACTCATGTTCAAGTTCTGGTCATGGCCCCAGCAGAGTCCCAGCCAACTTCTGACTCAAAAGAGCATGGCAAATTCCTCATCTCTACTAGCGCTTGTGCTGCTGCTTCGATCCCCGTATCTCATGCCTCACTAATCATACCATGTGGAAGCAAGGAGCTGCCACTCTACAAAGACCACTCTGCAGGGAAGGAACCGGTGCTGATTGCTCCCTGGCTGTGCGCAGTTTATTTAGGCTTCCAGCTTGTGGAAACCAACGTCACAGTGAGCACCAAGTAACACTACTAACGAGTTGTGGATGTCAGCTTAGCTTTGTACGTGTCAAGTCCAGGCTTTACTGATGTGATAACAACAGGAGCCTTAACCCAGCACTCTGAGGAAATGAAAAGCTGATGCCAGTTTACAGCAATCCAGGTGAATTCAGCGCAGTATAATACTCTGCAAATATCTTACAGGTTAGATTAATTTCATTCACTTCTTCAAAATCACTTTCCTGGGTTGCTGGTCTAGCTGTTTACATGGGACAACATGCACATACACCAGCACTTGTAGACCTCAGCACAGGTCCCCACCTGGAACTCTCTAGATGCCAGCCACCCCACTCATGAACATGACCTCAGCGATACAAAAGACCAATGAAGCATGTCAGACTTGGCTTGTATTCTTTTCCCAAAGACTACTTTAATTCACATCCAGTTAACGTGCCAAGATGACAGGGACAAAGGATCTGCATGCCAAAGTCAGGTAAAGACTACTGCTTGATTTGAGTGTTCAGAAATGGAATTTCATTTGTATGCTTAGGGATGATCATCCCTTTGGAAAACATGTTGGCTAAAAACAGGAAATATCACAAAGCCCCAGTTTAAACCCTTCTCGGGGTTATGAAAGGATTCATTTGCTATAGAGATTATCCTGGGCAATGATCTGGCACTATGCCTAGCACCTACCTGTCTTCTTAAACAACCCTCCACTCCCAATTATGCACGGCGAACAACGATTTCCCTGAAAAATAAAGACTGGGGACAGTCGGAGGCTTGTAAGGACAAAGATATCCACATTACAGGCAAGCATGGAGCAATAAAGCCCAGAAAAACCTCCCTCCCTTTCCATACTCACATCACTTTCAAATCCCAGTCTCCACAGGTCACAAAAATCGACTTGACGCTGGGATCTAAGAGTCCTTCCTTTGCCATCCATTCGTCGACCCTCTGAAAAGAAGGCAAGAAAAGGGGATGAGTTTTGCAGAGACAGGCCGAGCCAGAGCAGTTAAACTCAGATAAGCCGCTTGCAATCAAGTGAGAAGAAAATTGTGATCTTATCCACCTCTCTCCCTCTCTCTCTTCTCTTTTTGCTTGCCATCTGAACAACAGCACGTTTGGACCTTTGAAGATTTCTGATAGGAGACATCAGGCAACCAGAGCGGAGATGATCTTATCTGGCACCACAGCTGCTCTGCTCACAGAGGGATGGAAGTTGTGCAGCCTTAATGGGACAATACAGCTGTGCTTTTACCTGGCATTCCTGCACTTCTCCTCTCCCTGCACCAAATGGGCTTGTAGGGACCTCAACCTGTCCCCCTTCAGCCAAGAAGAATGCACTTATTTCTTGAAGCACTCCACTGTGATCTGAGCGAGAGCAAGAGAAGCCAAAGCAGGAGGCTCCACAATGACCCTCCAGGCATCAGGCTGTAAGCTGAAGGGAATGAGGCAGCCAAACAAATCTGAGCAGGAGCTTCTTACTACCTGTTTGAATATCCAGGATAACACAAGCATCCTGGGATGGTGTCCCTCACTCACAGCATTGCTCACACACTCCACAGACAGGATATGGGAGAGAGAGAGAGAGAGACAAAGAACTGGGTACATCTGAACACTGCAGCAGTCACAGCCAAAGGCAGGCATCCCACCTTCCACTCCCAGGTTTGGTCTCTCCTTGTTCCTTACAATTCATTCAGCTTGGGTTTCAAGTGAGCCCATATTCCCAGTAAACTTCCCACAAGAACATATGTTCTGGATCCACTTCACAAATGGGCCACAATGATCTGCAGGATGCACACTCACCTTAGGGAGCAACCAGGCAGAATTAACCTAGGCTAAACCCCCTAAGAAGACATTCATTCCAACTAGGACAGCCCTCCTGGGAGCAACCACCCCAAAGCAGAACACTGCTGGCCCCATGAGCACCTGCACCTCCAGGATCTGGCAGCAAAGCTCCCGCTGCAACCCTGCTGAACTCTTATGTGAGTGCCCATGAAGTGCTGTCTCCATGGAGGATTTTAAAGCCTTTAATTTGATTTCTTCACATAAGCAATTGTTACAATTATTCTGATTAGGAACAATTAGGTAACACAGCAGTGGAAATCCTGACAGAGACAATGCATTGAGCAGCAACCTGCAGCCTGAGAGGGCTCTGCTTGGGGAGGTTTCCTTCATTATTTAACTACCAACAAAAGCTATTGATGGAGAAACACTTCCAAGCTAATTAAGCTCTAAATGCTGTAGGAATTCAACATTAAGCAGATGGCATTATTAGGGCTATATCTGCTATTGCAAATCCTCCAGATTAGATTTTAGAGGCATTTTCCTTCAATGCTACGTGTATTATTTAGCATTTAAATAGGTAGAAAAAAATTAATTTAATAAAATGCTGAGGAAGAGGAAGGAAAAAAGACAGAGCTTCCAGAGCAGTGGTTTCAAGCAACGCCTCGGTCCTTTAAAACTGGTGCAAGGAAGAATCGCCTCTTCTCCTATCTACTGGCAAGAGTTTGGATATCTTGTCAGTACCCTTGACATGAGCAGCTGGAAATGACAGATCAATGGTTCAATACTCTCAGCAGTGTGTCACCGACGTGACAGCAAATGTTATTCTAATGAAGCTGTAATCATAGTCAAATTACGCGGTTCGATTCTCAGCAAGGGGAGGGTGCAGGGAAGGAGATGAAGAGGAGACAACAGGACCAGAGGTCAGAGTTCAGGAAATAAAGGTTACTCTGCTTACCTCAAGCACTTGCTGGAGGCTCGGCTGCCCATCCACCATGCCTTGAATAATCCCAGTCAGCTGAAATGAGAGACAAACAGAGAGCAGCCATCAGAGCAGCACTCAAAAGATCATTAGAAAGGTCTCCTCTGCTGTCCATCTCCCTGCAACCAAAACATGCTCCTGTGACCTGCGTGGGTGCTGTCGAGGGATCAGCCATAGCAGAGCCACGGGCAAGGGCAGAGCTCCATCCCAAACACAGGAAAGTACGGGGCTCCTGCCCACCCCCCCACATAACAATGAACTCCCAATGGGGCTGGAGGCACTCGGGGAGCAGCAGTGCCACTGCACGGCCTGACATAGTGTCCCAGAGCTGCCCTTTCCCAGTTATTCCTGTTCTGATGAGCTCTACTGGGGGCTCTGGGCACGCCCCTGGTACTGGGATGAGACCGCACTATCACTCAGTGGGAGCTGCTCAGAATCCATTCATTCCCTGTGCTGGGCAGTAAAGCATTGCAGCAGGATGGCTTGGCTGCTGAAGGGTAGGCACATGCACAGAGAGATGTGGTCTCATGGGCCCCCACCTGTGATAGCTTGAGGCACACAGAAAGCAGATAATTTTTCTGTCTGTCTTCCAACTGACAAAACCGTCTTTTAACATATTGAATATTGGAGGTCAGTAGCTTGCCATCAATGCACCCAAGTAATTAAAAAAATCATTACTATAACAAGTGCACACTCCAGTATTTCCCTTCATCTGGCACTTTGCAGGAGACCAGCATGGCCTCCTGCACAGATCGTCTCAGCATAAACCACAAGGCTCTGCTACAACATGGCAGCTGGCAGCAGCTCTGCTGCTTTACTTCTCTGTTCCATTGGCTGCTTGGTTTACAGCACTGAACTCAGAAGAAGGGGAACAAGAAAAAAAAAACAAAAAAAAACCTTCAATTAAACTGTAATTGCATTTAATGAATACCAAATACCTGACTCGCTGAATAAGCTGCAAGTGAAAAGATTATTTTCTCATCGTGACTTCCGTGGAACGGTAATATATAGCTTTTAGGGAAAGTATTCTAATTTTAAGAATGCAGAGCTCCTCTAGGTGGGTTTCTCAAGTTCATCAAGTCATTATAAGGTGGAATTTTAAGGAAGTGTAAGGACACAGGCACTCATATCCTAGAAACTGTTTTCATATTAATCTGTATTTTAATTGTATAACAGCTGCTGCCTGCAGACTCCCCATATTCTAAGAGGCAAATAGATTTAGGAGATTAACATGCAGCTCTTCAAAGTGGTTTTGAAAGCACACTGGCTGGCTTCTTCCCCTCCTCGCTGCCTCTCCCCACACATCTGCCTGGCACAGGAGGACAGAGCCAGCCTGACCGCAGGCAGTGCCTGAAGGATAGGTACAATTCATCACCAAAGGAACTGCTCAAAGGGGACCAGCTTTCTGCTCTCCCATCTTTTGCCATCTCGTCTGGTCTCAGTTACATACATCACCTGCAACACCCACCCAGGTGCATTGGCTTTCTGCAGTATTATCTGATCTCACGCTTCTGATAAAATATAAAAACATCAAATTGCACCACTGTAAAGTTTCACTGGCGATTCCAAGAAGCACATGGTATTTGGGAACATAAACAAGCGATAAGGCATTTATCTTTCTGTACTTTTATTGTCTGTTCCTTCAGGAAAAAAAAAAATCAATAAAAATTAATCGTAAAAAGAGAGCAAAGTACCATGAAAAAGCCTGAACAAGCGCCTCATGTGTAGAGGGATCCTGTCATTTCAGCTCCTGGTATGAGCTTTCCTGGGTATCAAACCACCTGTATCTTTCAAAAGGGCAGGAGGAGCTTTTTCTCCCTACTTTTTCTGCCTGACACCAGAACCAAGCCTTATAGTTTGTGTCCTGCCAAGAAATATGGAATCAGAGCAGGGCAACAGAAGAAAGCAGCTTGGAAGGCATGCTCCCAGCAGTGGTGTGGGAGGTTGGAGGAACCTTCTGAAGCCGGGGTTCAGCTCAGCCACCGCAAAACCTAAGCAGAGAGATGCCCTGAAGGTGACTGCAAGCCCTTTGTCCTTGCAGACACCCTTTTCATGTTGCTTTCTTCAGCAAGAGGAGTGCGAGAGATGCTCCAGACCAGAAGAATAACGTTGGGTGGCCCTGCTGAGCCTCACACACACACTCCTTACTGAGCAGTGCGATCACCTTCTGGCAAAGCAATGGATAGGGAAAAGGAAAGCAGAAGCAGGGCAGTCAGGTTCCCGTGCAGTGTCAACACTGCTGCTTTTGCACCAGAGTTTATCAGAGAAACCATCGTATTTCTACTCTAAGACAGTTTGCTGATTACCTAAACACTTGTCTCTGGTGTACAATCTGATAATCAGGCCTGGTCTTTCTTTGTAGACAAAGAGGCCAATAAATCTCACCCTTTGTAAGTAGAGGTGCCTAGACAAAGCCCTTTACTGGCATTTAGCAAAATGGATATTTTTCAGGCAACAAAAACCAGCTCAAAGCTGATGGTGAACGCTGGACCTGTGCAGGCAGGGGCTGAGCTGGAATGGCATATACATCACAGCTGGGGCTGCTCCTGGGGCTGCTTATGTCTCCCAAACCCCAAGTGTCTCTATAGGGCCTCTGCAAAAAGCAGTGCAAGAGATAAATGTATTGGGGTGGGGAAAGTTGCAACAGAGGAATTGCTAGGAAAGGGAATGTCAGTAGGAGCAAATAAGTGAGATGACTTCTCTAGAAATTCAATGACACACAGCACTTACATTCCAGGCCTTACTCTAGAAGGGAACATTGCTCTTAGGTGCAAACTGTGAGATCTATCACAGCAGACATCTGCCTCAGCATACGTCCAGCAAGTCTCCTGTGCATTGTGGCAGCCCAAGTAGTTGTCCAGCCTTATCATGTTAAAGTTGCAAAAACACCTCCAATTTAGCTATAAATGTGTGAAAACAGGGCCTTCTGAAAGCCCTTCTCCTGGGAATAATGTTCTCTGAGCTTAGTTTTTATTTATTTTTTTGCCTCTTTTAGTTTAAATAAAATACCTTTGGCTGGTTTTTAGCTACAGGAGAAAGAAAAAAAGAAGTGTGTGTGTATGCATATGTTTTAACAACATGCAAATATGGCTGGCTGGTCTTAACCACAGCTCCACTTAACAGACAGGAGTCACTTGGAAACAGACACTACATGTAGGATAAGCTTGTCAAAGGAGAATGCAGTCAAAGAGAATGGAGAAAATACCACAGTGCCAATGGTGCTGGATGACAACAGGAGGGAACAAAAAGCCTGGATACCCTAAGCCCACAGTCAGTGCTTTAGTTGCTGACCTGGATAACATTAAAACAGTAGAGGAACAGAAAAAAAATCCAAAGCAAAAAGAACTTAAAAACTTCTGTGTTGATGCTCTCTGCGACCTCTCCCATCAACATTCAGAACAGCAAGATCCCAAAGAGTTTACATGGAGGCTGCCAGTGTTTTGTAGATTACACAACACAACAGCAATGCTTTTGTTTTGTGGTCACCTAGGAATACGTTCATTAGTTTAAACAGAACCATTGTCAGCTACCAGGTCATAACTGAATGATCACAACTCACGAACCCAAAGAGAGACCTCTACACGCTGCTACAAAGACATAAGAAGATCCCCTTCTTGTCCTCAATTGTCCTCAACATGAGGCAGGACGCTGTGAGCAGGGGGCCCCAACCCTGGTGCAATGAAAACCTGCTCCCCTTGGGACTCAGAGAACCAGGGAACCTTTGCACTTTACCTCTGTACAGAAGGGCGTAAGCTGGGGATGCACCACAGGCTGAACATACATGTGAAAGGTGGATTCAATTTCCATCGTCCTTCCATTCAGCTTCAGGATAGGGAATTCGATGATCTCCTGAACGGGGCGAGAAGGAGAGAAACTGTTCATGTAAACCAAATAAACAGAACCCCCAAATTTAGCCAAGCCCAACATGAAGCTCCATGCTAGGGTACAGGAGCCCAGGAGAGGTGAAATCAAAGTCACAAGGAACACTGCAGTGGGAGGAGAGGGACTGGAGCCCCCCCAAACCACTGCCATAGAACACAGCGCAGCAGCATCCCCTGCTTCATTTTCCTCTTTGCAGACAACTTATGCTGATAGGGAAATAAAACCGTTCTTCATCAGAAGAACGTTCAATTATTTGAATAATCAACAATCAAAAATTTACATGGACCTGTTAATAAAAAGTTTAAACAAATCCCGTTACGATGGATTTCACAATTATTAAAAAATATACATGAAATTAAAAAAGCCAACCGCCGAATAAAAGCGATAAAATCCTTTGTGTTTGCAGCCCTCCTTCTTCACTCCCTCTCTTCCTTCCAGTTTAATGCAAGAGGAGAAGCGACAATTTGTTTGGTGTCTTTAAAGAATAATTTGTCTATGTTATTTAATAGAGATGCATGGCACCGAGGTTCTGGAGTGCAAATGAGCCTGCTGAGTGATATCCACGCACCGAGCCTCTCAAATCACTTCTGGGGAGAAACGGAGAGGGGGAGAGAGAATAAAAAAAAATATTGCTTTTTAATATTCAAAAACAGTTTGCAAAATTTAATCAAAGCAGAGCAAAAGCTAACATTTTTACCACTTTGACATTTTTATTAGCGCTTTCATAAATTTTTAAAACATGAATGGAATTAGTTTAACAACAACGAAAAAAAAAACCTGCCTGAAAACATCTGGAAGAGACAAATAAGAAATAACACCAAAAAAAATTATATATATATATATACATATATATATACATATACACATAAAAAACTCCTGTGAGTAAAATTAGCATGTAGAAGTGCAGTCACTGCAGAGGAACTAACACCAGTTTGGACCCTGACTGCAACCCCTGTGACCTGCAGAGGGAAATTAATGTGAGGTCATACGTGTGAGTTGATGACATCATGATGCAGCAGTGGGTGGGTAAATGGAAACAGCAAATAATGTAAATAGAGGAAACACCCAGTGTATCCCCGGGAGGAGAGGTATCTGGCCCTAAGCAGGATGTGCTGTGGGGGGCACGTGCCTGTAGGTTGGAGAAATGAATGGAACCAAGTGTATGCAGTGCTGAGTGCACAGAGGGAGGCAGCGGGCGGTCAGACAGCCTCACAGGGGCAGCTGTGCGCACAGAGGAGCTTTGGGAGCATCTCTCCCTGTGCTGTGCTACCCACTAAAGGGTCGGGAGGACCCAAGGATCCCACTGCTGAGAAGGGACAGAGAGGAAGACGCAGAGAGAAAAGGGCTGAGCGCTGCCTGGCCGCAGCCAAAGGCACTGGCCACAGCCATGTGGCATCCCCCATTGAACTGGAGAAAGTGAGGCTAGATGAAGACACAGCTGAATGGGGCAATGGAGCACCCACAGAGTGTCCCTAACAGCCATGGCGTGGTGGGATGCACAAAGGCACTGCCTTCCAGCGCTGACAGCAGGAAGCACTGCCAGGAGGGTCATGTTAAAATAGGCTGAGGAAATAAAAACTAAATGCTACTAAAAACGTGGAAAATTTAACAACATCCAGCGTTAGCACAGGTCTGGGGAAGCACACAGCCAGGCAGTCGGGGTGGGACCTGCAGAGCAACTCCAGCTTGAGAGAACGAGCAGCAGCTCTTCAGGGCTTATTCGGTGCGTTTTTAAGCAAGTGGTAAAGGACTGTTCCCCAAAGGCTGTTTATCTGCACGCTTCCTATAGTGGAGATTTTTCCAGGCTCTGGCAGTGTTTGCTCCGTCGGTATCTAAGGCAACAGATCCCGGCCCCATGAAATCAGCCCCACTCCTCAGTAACAACGTTAGCCAGTCCTGCAATGAAATTTAACCTGTGACACTGCTGTACTTTTCATTTAAACTTTCATTTGGAGAGAAGCAGTGTTCGGAGACCCTGCAGTTTGTCCTGCTAATAAAGACAAGTGTTGGGACCTTTAAAGGTGCCATTCATCTTTTGCCTTTATTAAATTCAATTTTCTTAAGCCCATGATACATCATGAAATTAAGAGTTGACATTCCTGCAGAAACAAAAATATCTATCAAACATAAACAGAAAGGGAAAGAAAAAGGAGGCCTCTATTACCAAGAATTTATGGCTTCAAGTTGATCTGTTGCCACTTTTCTCCCGTCCTCTCTTTTTTTTTTTAACAAGCATATGGTTTGTTTTAGATATCCAAAATGTTATTACAGATCTACGATTTCATTAGTAATTATGATGAAATGGTGAGCCCTAACACATACACACACACCTCCCAGCAGCCTGGTAACCTCCATCCCTACACCCAGTGCTTTGGCCAGGTGAGAAAAGGAACAGAGAGCAGCACAGGGAACCTAAGGCAGAGCCTCGCTGACATCCCCTCTCCCTCCCATCACTTTGACCATCCCCGTCTGCCTCACGCATTACCATTTCCACCACCCAGCACCCTGCTTGTGCTGCAGCAATGCCGGGGGGGCCCACAGCCACGAGCTCCCAGCAGAACAAATGCCCCCATTTGAATTCTGCGAGCGCCGCAATTAAGGGCTATTATTTACCACTGCGAAGTAACTTGAAAGGAAATCCGGGATTCAAACCGCCGGCAATAAATAAGCAGCTTTTTATTTTCCTTCCCGCGCGGTGAAAAGTTGAATATGGTTTGTGTGGGGAAATTCTGCGCGCGGCGCCCAATTACGGGCATTTGCATTTATATTGTTAGAACACAGCGCTTCCAAAATCAATACTAACGCGCTTACAGAGACACGGGCACCCTGTCCCTCCCTCTGCTGCTCCCCAAACTCTGCAACAATAGAACCTGCAGCGCCGCAGGCTTACACGGATCCATTACCCAGCCCGCACTCTTTACAACAACCTTGCCTTTATGATTTCGTGGTAATTCAAACAAATCTATGTGACAGCTGGCTCGGATTTGCCTTGTTTCTTTAAACATTCCCTGAGAAGAGGTGCTGGGTGCCAGCAGCGCGGCCGGGCCGTCCGCAGGGCACTACCAGCAGTGCTGGACTTCCCTTTCAAAGGGATCTGAAAAATTCATGAGGCCATGCAGAACCAGTGCCGTAAAACCAGCCTCTCCCTGCCCGGCCGCCTTAAATACAGCTCCCATCCCTGCTGCACCACAGCACAGAGGGCAAGATGCAGCTCTCTCAATTTTCTCGACAACTAAAGCTTTGCACAAGCAGGCAACTACACCTGCTCAGCATCTCCTTAAAGCAACGACACCTCAGCAAAGAAAGCTGCCCTCATCCCACAGCAGAACTTTTGCAAAGAAAGCTGCCCTCATCCCACAGCAGAACTTTTGCAAAGAAAGCTGCCCTCATCCCACAGCAAAACTTTTGCAAAGAAAGCTGCCCTCATCCCACAGCAGAACTTTTGCTCACTGCTTTGATCCAGCAGGACTCGCACACACTCTGTGCCCTGCTGATCTCCCTGGGCCTCAAAGCCCTCTAACCCACGTCAGCTGAGGACAGGACATACTCTGGGACGCTGATTTATTTATTTGAGGAAGACTGTATGGACAATTCCATCCTAAAACTACCAGGGAATAATTTATCCCTTATACCCACCCCCATCTGTGAAGAAGTTTAATAAACACAAGAATAAAAGATGCCCATAAAAATCAGAGCCTACTATTCAAAACGCAATAAAAACAAGCAGATGTCTTTGAGAGAAGAGGATTTTTTCCGGTAGGGAAAAGCATAAAACATCCTCCCAAAGACCACACTACACCTCCAAAGAGGTGCAGGCAGGACAGACGAGGGGGTCCCACGGAGGGGACGCAGGCTCAGCACAGCTCATTTCCTTCAGCCATTTTTTTCTGGTCCCCTCTTGAAAAACAAAAAGTCGTTTTATGCACAAGAAGCTTATTTCTTAAACAAACACTCGTGGTTTTGATTTACACCACGGGCTGCTCCTAAATAATTTATGGCGGGTTAAATTTATTGCACAGCCCTGGCCGGCTGCAAATTCGAATTGCCAAATAATTAGATTTTAGGGCAATGCTTATAAATTATCCGCCGATTTGTCCGGACTTGTTTGTCAGTTGCTTTGTGCTTCGGGTCATCTTTGGCATTTCGCTGTTTGTGTTTTAATTGCTGATTTACACTTTGACAGATGAGAGTTGATGCCTCCAAGATCTGGGTGGGTGCAGGGGGGTGGCGAGGAGCAGGAAGAAGCAGAGCTTTTAAAGGCCTGCGATTCTACTTTTTTTTTTTTCCAAGGCAATTAAAATGGAAAAGGGACACGGTAAGGACAGCACTATCCTTAACAGGTCTGCATCCACCGATTCCATCCTCTGCCTTAATTATTATTTTAACTAAAGCCCTTTCCAAGTGAGCAGCCTTGCACTTGTCCGCAGGGGCAGTAGTTGAAATGACCTCAGAGGTCTCTTCCCTGCTTCTAAATCTCCATTGAACTGACCAAAGCAAGTGCCACAAAGGTGATGGGGGACAGCGAGGCTTCCGCTGGACCAAGGCTGTGCTGACTTCCCAAGGATGCTGACCGAAAATCAAAACACGGGGGCACATGCAGGAGCATGGATCATGAAGCACCAGGAGATGTGAGGGCAGCTTCTGCTCCCTGATCATTGGATATATCCAAAGTTTTTTTCCCCTCTCCTTTGTTCTTAGGGTAACCTCACCTTCTACCTCCAACGTTCAGGCAGCGGACCCTGATACCAAAATGTGGGTTTCCTCAGCTTGGAGCAATCTTTCAAGTCCTCTGCTGACACCAAACCCAGCTCAGATTTGCAGGTGCTTCCTTACAACTGTGAGGGTGAGGGACCATTTCTCTTTCTTTAATAGAAGCTGAAATTTCCATCTAATCACATGCCTCCAGGAGCTTGGGCTTTAAGAGACATCCAGTCCGTGCACCTGCCCGAAGCCATCAGCATCTGCCC